AAATATTTGCATTATTATTGTTATTACTGATATGATTTTGGGTATAATTCTTAATTCTTGTTTCTGGCACTGATACTGGCGCTGTTGTGATAAAAATGACCATTACCATTGGCATTCCTATTGTGAATATTGGTATCAGTATTGTTGCACATTATTATTATTATTATTATTACTTTTTTTACAATTTCACCCACAGACAAATAGATAAACAGAAGAGTTTTTTTACATACATATATGTATATCATAATTAGTAATTACCTCTTTGCTCATGTAGGAATACGTTATAAAATTGTAATTATACTTATTATTGTAATTATACTAATTGTTATCATAAGTAATATAAAATCGTTCATAATAATATTTACCAACATTATTATATTACTTGGTATACGTTCCATTCACAGGATGACGATGAGTATCCTCGCCGACTGGATGCCTTTGGCCCCACTCACGGACGAGGAAATTCATGGCACAGGAGTCAGTATCAAAGAAGAGCTCAGCGAAGATATTTCCGAGGATACTTGTATTGAAATTAAAGAAGAACCGTTTGATTATGCAGATAAAGAGAGGGATGAGGTGAATGACGAGAAGGTGAAACAAAAATGTCTCTTCTTTCATTATCTCGATGAACTAAAACATAAATCAAATGCGAAGAATACGTGTAAGTTGGTTGAAGATGGTAATGGCGTGTTGTTAAGAGCGCCATTTGTGGCTGAGAATTCTCTGAATAAGATTTCATCAGATTGTGATCAGGCAATACATATTGAAAGTCTTAAGCAGGATACACAACCGAAAATGGAAGCTACATTGAAACGTTTTGCATGTGAAGTATATGGCAAGAAATTCTCTCAAAAGAGAATTATGAACATTAATATGAGAGTTTACACAAAGGAGAAGCCATTCAGCTGTGAGATTTGCAGCAAGGCCTTCTTTCGGAAAGGCCATCTAGCAAGGCACATGAGTGTACATACAAAGGAGAAGCCGTTCAGCTGTGAGATTTGCAGCACGGCCTTCTCACAGAAAGGTCATCTAGTACAGCACATGAGGATACATACAAAGGAGAAGCCGTTCAGCTGTGAGATTTGCAGCAAGGCCTTTTCTGTAAAAGACACTCTAGTAAAGCACATGAGAGTACATACAAAAGAGAAGCCATTCTGCTGTGACATTTGTAGCAAGGCCTTCTCTGAGAAAGGTACTCTAGTGAATCACATGAGAGTACATACAAAGGAGAAGCCATTCAGTTGTGAGATTTGCAGCAAGGCCTTCTCTCAGAAAGGTAATCTCGCACAGCACATGAGAGTACATACAAAGGAGAAGCCGTTCAGCTGTGAGATTTGCAGCAAGGCCTTCTCTGAGAAAGGTTCTGTTGTAAAGCACATGAGAATACATACAAAGGAAAAGCCATTCGCTTGTGATATTTGTAGGAAATCCTTCTCTGAGAAAAGTACTCTAGTAAGGCATATGAGAGTACATACAAAGGAGAAACCATTCAGCTGTGAGATTTGCAGCAAGGCCTTCTCTGTGAAAGGTAATCTAGCACAGCACTTGAGAATACATACAAAGGAGAAGCCGTTCAGCTGTAAGATTTGCAGCACGACTTTTTCTGAGAAAGGCCATCTAGCAAGGCACATGAGAGTACATACAAAAATGAAACCATTCAGTTGTGAGATTTGTAGCAAGGTCTTCTCTTTGAAAGCTAGCCTAGTAAATCACATGAGAGTACATACAAAGGAGAAGCCGCTCAGCTTTGAGATTTGCAGCAAGGCCCTCTCTGAGACAGGTAATCTAGTAAAGCACACGAGAGTACATACAAAGGAGAGGGCATTCAGCTAGAAAATTTTCAACAAGGCTATTCCACAAAGAAATAACCAAGTTAGACATACGAGAGTACATACAAAAGGAGAAGCCTTAAAACTGTGATTTTTAGAAAAGCCTTCGCAGGAAAAAATAAGACCTAAAGTAACACATGAGAGTACATGTAAAGGAGGATTTATACAGCTTTCGTCAAAAAAGTGATATTGCAATACACATAAAAGTACTGAAATTATATGGGTTGTTTGGATGATGCTATATGAGTTTAGGTTTTTAAATGGATATTAAATATTTGGATTGTTTGAATCTTTTGAAATAAAATATTCGATAATACATTATTGATACCCTTTCTAATTCATATATAATTAGCTTTTATTAATTATTTATCTTATATTTTGTTTCTCTATGTTCACTGGAGAGAAGGGTTACTGGACTGCAGTTTCGCAGGGCTTACTATGCAGTGCTTGGTACATAGTTCCCGCACAAAAGTATATGAAAACTGCACATTTACTTAACGTTCCTGTATGTGTGTATATATATATATATATATATATATATATATATATATATATATATATATATATATACATATATATATGAATAAGAGTATTGTTCTCCTGTGTTGTTATCTGCTGTAGAGTCACACTTAATAATAACGATGTTAATAATAATAATAATAATGGTAATA